TATATATATATATATAATGAGTAGGAATGTACAAAGTAGAAACGTATACGTTGATATAAAAGACATACCATACTCTCGCGAATAAGCGCCCCGTTTGAATAAACGCCCCTATTCCTAAAAAATTAAATCATACAGTATAAGTACAGTAGATCACCAACTTAATTGTCTGCGTCAACTATTCGCATCTATCGTTTGTCGGTCGGTCGCTCAGTCCATCTATCCATCTGTCGGTCTATCAGTCTCCATTAAGTTTAACATGGTTTTCAGTTTTAATGCATATTTAGAATCCCATTCTTGTTTTATTGCTACTCTTTTTAGATTTTGAACTACAATATTTAATATCTACAAATTAAAATACCATAACAAATCACTCGTATCTAAGCAAGAAACCCTGCAATGATCTTGCTAACCCGAATTAGAAGATGGCAAACACGCTTACCACCACCACCAACACTACCACTATTTCATGCTGTTGTATAAATACCCCCAACATTCTTGTCATGAGCCATGCTCTCTCGACGATTAGGCCCAACCTTTTCTTCACCAAAATCATTCGTTTATCTTCGATTAAAAAAAAAACTGCCCCTTGAATTTTCCAATTTCCCATAAGCACCCCTTCAATTTTCATCTATTTTCATAAGCGCCCCTCAATTTCAATTGTTTTCATAAGCGCCCCGTTTGAATAAGCGCCTCTCAAAAAGAGCCAAAATATTTTAAGCGCCCGGGCGCTTATTCGCGCGAGTACGGTAAAACAAGTTTTTATTTCGAATATTTCGAGCACTCTTGTGCTCTTCCTAAAAAAAATGTATAATTATAAAGCTTTTGAATCTAGCAAACAAGAAAAATCAATTAAAGCAGTGACTACGATAGATCGTTGATGATACACAATTAAAGGCGGATAATATAGGGCGGCAATGAAGATAATGATAAATAAACCGGCTATAGGCCTATGATAATCAGCGGGCTATAGGCCTATGATCTCGTTGCTAAAGGAAATAAATGGATAAAAGTATAACATATGTTTTCTTAATGAACTAATAAATTAATAAATAAAAGTGTAATCTTGGAGAAATCAGGGACGTAGCCAGGATTTTGAAAGGGGCGGGGGAGCCGTTATGCGAATTACGTATGACCCCGGCGGGGTCCAGGGTGCGAATTCCCCTGTGAAGTAGCGCACTCTGAACGTTCTTAGGACTGTTTTGAGAGGATAAAGTGAAAATTGCAATATAAATTGCATTATAAATAAGCGAAAAAATTATTATATAATAAATCCACAACCAGATCCAGGAATTCGAAAGAATATCTTACTAAGCTTTAACTATACTATAATAATTATGATCAACAAATCACAACTTTTTTTCGCATTTAGCACAATTTTCTTAACTTTTTATTGCTATTAACACTATTATCAGTTATTACTATCGTCATCATTATCATCATATTGATGATCATCATCATTGTTATTATTATTTTTACTATTAGAATTAGTATTAAACAAAACTTAAAAAGTATAAAAACAAAACTGAACCATACAGTATCGCATTTCTATATCTTAAAAGACCTGGCCTGAGATTTATGGATTTAAGATTTTTTTAAATCACGCTTAGGCCTATGTGTTCTATTAGGCCTATGTATAACGTGTACTGATGCACATTTACATGTTTTAGAAGTATTCATTTTGAGTGATCCCAGGAAAGAATTTGTATTGGCTCAAGAACAAGCTTTAACATTTTTTTGTTATGGTTATTACACCTGAGCCTGAATTTGCTTAGTTTGTATATCGTGCTCTTTCAGATGAGATACCACTGGACTCTTCCAGGAGATCCAAACAAAAGTCAAAGCGACTTTAAAAGAACAGATAAAAAACACCTGGCAAGACATCATGTACTAGAAAGAAACTTTGAAGTTCTGATAAACAGGGCTTATGTATGCGTTGGATCGTCTTTCAAATTCACACTTGGAATATTAATATACTGAACTTCACAGTTATTCGTGAGCGGCGTTGTGAACAGCTTTCCAAGTTCCTGGTAGTCGTGCTGTCGCTGGTTTGTATCAAACTTGAGACTTGTGTATTGATCGTCAGGGATGTCAGCAGGGGCTGTTTTACAGAATCGTTTATAGAGACATTGGCCTATTAACAATAATAACACAACGATACAAAATATTAACAACATGGCACCACCTATGAACCATTTGAACAAGCCTCCTCTCACTTCGTTTTTTGTAGGTGTGATCATTGTGCCTGTAGGTTCGGTTTGTCGAGTGATCGGCAAATTTGGAGGTCCGGTATGTCTAGTGATTGACAGGTTGCCGTGTCCTGTTCCAACTGCATTTTGAGCCTCGCATATCAGTATTAACGCATCATCCACGGCACCAATATCCATCAACGTCACGTCACTACTTGTGCTGTTCAATACCTTACATTCTTCAACCTCGACATTTTCTGTTTCTTTCTCACAGATAATCCATCGAAAACTGGCATCGGGATATGATTCTACTTCACATTTAAACTGCTCCTCGCTGTCTATATTTAGTTTGGTGATCTTTACTCGAGGTTTCATCAATAGAGGTGTGGAAGAGTTGAGCGGTTGTAATATCATCGACTGATGTGCCACGCACCAGAATTGCCAACCGTCTAAACCAGTGACGTTCACGGGATAAATGATATTTACTCCATTTACAGAATCAGACTGCATTGTAATAGCAAAATAGACAGGAATTAGATCGTTTTTGTAGTGAGCAGATTTCATGATTGTGATGTTGACGATAATATTTTTACCGATGTTAGCTGTACAAGATATACCGGTAATAAGTTGAGTTTGGTATCTGGTCTTTTCCGTTTGATGACTGCTTCCATGTTGAATTGAGGTATTGGATGTAGAAAACTGGCAACTGACAAAAGGATTTTCATTCAAATACTTTACTTCCAATTTGATATGACGTGTGATCGTTTTTTCGGCAATAATAACACGGCAAGTGTACACACCATCATCCGTTGGCAACACGTTTCTTATTTGTAGGTTGTACCTGTATGTTCTGGTTGAGTTGAGACCTGTTGTGTTGGAAAATGTGTATTTTAGTACGATTTTGTCTTCTTCGACTACTTTTTGATTATGAAATATTCTATTGTCGTTAAAGAACCAGCTTACGGTTGGTGTATTATCAGATGTAACAATACACTTCAGTGTGACGGAAGATCCCTCTCTTGCCATAATTTCTTCTTGCTCAACCATCACATCTCCTGTGGCACATGTTAAGATAAAACTAATCAGAAGAAATGTTTTTCGGCAATTTGTAAAATCCGAATGATTTAATAATGTTGTGTTTCTAATTCCAGTTTTATCGACTATAGTTTTCATTTTGAATTACTCCGTTTAACATCCACCATTGAAAAATCCGCTTTGAATTCACACAAGTAGACCCATAGGCCTATTACCTATGATTCACAAAAAGAGATAGACACAAGTATATTAGAACTAAAAACAATCATTGATAT